ATATCTAACACTCCCCCTCAAGCTGGAGCATACAAATTGTATGTCCAAGCTTGGAACAAATAAACTCAAATCGAGGACTCCTTAATGACTTGGTCAACACATCTGCAGGTTGATCGTTTGACCCAACAAACTCAGTATATATTTCTTTTGTCAACAACTTTTCATGAACAAAATGACAATCAATTTCTATATGTTTAGTCTTCTCGTGAAACATTGGATTTGATGCAATGTGGAGAGCAGCTTGATTATTGCAATACATCTTCATAGTATGGATGTCACAGAAGTTAAGCTCTTGAAGGAATTGTTTCACCCGTATAAGTTCACATGTGAGTGACGCCATCACCCTATACTCGACTTTTGCTGTTGATTGGGCTACTACATTCTGATTCTTACTTTTCCATGAAATAATGTTTCCTCCACGAAAAACACAATATCCTGTAGTAGGCCGTTTATCGATAGGCGAACCTGCCCAATCTGCATCACAATACCCAAAGAGCTGAATGCTTCCTTTATCTTCATATACGATCCTTGCCCGGGAGCCTTTTTGATATACCTTAGAATGCGAATGAGAGCATTCCAATGGTCAACATATGGAGCCTGCATGAACTGGCTAACCATTCCAACTGCAAAGGATAGATCTGGCCTTGTAATAGTGAGATAAATTAGTTTTCCAACCAACCTCCTATACCTTTCTGGATCGAAGAATAATTCATCTTCTTTTGTCTTTAATTTCTGGTTTGGGTCCATGGGAATGTCTGCCGGTCTGCAATCAGTCATGCTTGTTTCTATATCAAGAGCATACTTCCTTTGGGAGATTTCAACTCCATCTTTTGATTGCACTACTTCAATGCCTAAGAAGTATTTGAGTCTTCCAAGATCCTTGGTTTGAAAATGTCTACACAAGTACTGTTTTAGTTGAGATATTCCAACGTCATCATTTCCTGTAATGACAATATCATCAACATATACTATTAAGTAAACAGATTTCCCAAGAGAAGAATGACAATAAAAAATCGAACTGCTTCACTACGTTTTAGCCCAAATTTTTGAACAATGGAGCTAAACTATTCAAACCAAGCACGTGGTGATTGCTTGAGGCAATATAGTTGGCATAGATGCTTTGAGCTTTCTTCCAAAAGGAGTGACAAGTTTTGAAAGCCCTTAAAGATATAAGAAGTTTGGGTTCCACTGATTGCCATAACAGGGCACACAATTGGAAATGTGCTTGTTTCCACTGATCAACTTTTTTAGCAGGCATATGGCTTCTATCTCGCTCAAGGTGGTCATAATGCCCTTGGCCAAGGAACCACATTTCAACAGCAGCAGACCAGGATAGATAATTTTTTCCATCTAACTTCTCGGAGGTAATTGATGGATTTCCAGAGAAGGACAGAGTACTGCCAGACGCCATCTCTGAAGAAGACAAATCACACCAGCAAGGGTTTAGATAGACGTAATTGTGACGGCGGCCGGTGGTGAACGACGACCGATAGTGGACGGCTGATGGCGGACAGTGGCGGACAACGACACCGGTGAGACAGAAACCAGAGCGGGTCTGATACTAAGTTGAATATAGTGAAAACTATATGAGATTAATCTCCTTTGTGTTGAACATACATATAGGGTTCTTTATATATAATAGAAGAAATATTGGCTAAGCCCAAAATACAAATAAGAAATAATAACAAACTAATTAAAGATAAAAGATAAATATAAAATAAAGATAATATATCTAATACTCTTAATTATATAAATACATTACCTTATGAGTATTTTCTAAACAAGGGGGATTAGCCCTGTACCTAGTTTTTCTCTATATTCAACATAGTATTTAGAACTTAGGGCTTTTTGCCAATTTTTTATTTTGCCTTTGCCACTGCAATCACTGTCGTTGTTGCTACGGTCATCGTCGTTGGAGTGTCAGTGCAAATCGGTGACCACATGGTTTTTATCGTCTCGGTCAGGCGATCACCATGTTGTTAACAACGCCTTCATCAGAACTTCCACATGCCTCACATGCCTCTCCAAGTCATGGATATGCTACCTTTTTCGCTTGGCTTCTCTTTTGGTGTTTTATGGTTTTTCTCTCTCTTCCTCCATGGCGTCTTTCACTGCCTCTTCCACTTCCGACATCTATTCTGACACCACTGTCTCTGGCTGATCAATCTTTACTAACTATATCAATGTGCACTTGCCCATTGATAAGGTAGATGAGACTAATTATGCAACTTGGGCGTCAGACATTAAACTTTGGCTTGAGAAGTCCTACATTGACTAGAGATAAGACCAATTCACAATATATCAGTGGGTTACAAGCCGGTTTTGTAGGGTTGAGTTATGCTTGAAGTCTACTTTTTAACATGATACCAGAGTCATGAGTTAGAGTCAATCTTTGTGAAATTTGATGTTTGGTTAAGTCTATTGTTTCACCCGCTATTGGACCACCTATGAATGTCTAGTTCCACGCATGCGTTGTATATGCCTCGACATAAGGTAGGTGTGTTGGAAATCCAACATTGACTAGAGATAAAGTCAATTCACAATATATAAGTGGGTATAAACCTCATCTTACAAGTCGGTTTTGTAGGGATAAGTTAGGCTTAAAGTTTCCTTCTTAACCGTTACAAATTATCTCTTAGAACTATGTACTTACTTTCTATCCGAATATGTCATGATTTATTCCTTGGTCAGGATTGTGATTAGTATATTAAATGCAAGGCTTGTGCTTTAGGGTTTATGAACACATCATCATTGCACTGTAATAAATCACATCATGTCAGGTCTACATCAATTTCATTCTATTTCTTGTGTGTTCTTGACTCTCCATTCTCTCCCTCTACCATCCTGTAATTTTAACAAAACCTAATAAATAAACGTGATTGAACATTTTTTTCATTCCTCTGGAGTTTTAACCACACACGAGAATACTATGTAATGTTGAGTTAATCATATCTTGGTAATTATAATTACTACTAATGATATCGTTTTGAACAGATGATGTTAGAAGAGCTGAAGATCAGCATGGCGAACATTTTTCAGAAATGCTCGGATAGACTAAAATCCTTTAGTCGGAGAAAGAAAGCTAATGAATTTCTGAATAAGACCGAATTGTCGTTTAGGTTTATCCTATTTCTTTTCGTTTGCATTTGATATTCCACCATCCAATTTTAAATATTTATCCTTTCTTAAAGTAATCTATTGCTTGCAATATGAGTAGTAGCGAAGAGGTGCCCTTTTATTTTCTTTCAAAAGAACAAAATTACATTTTTTTTGTAAAACTAGTGCTTTGTACTTTTTTAATATATTATTGTCATTTTAGTAAAATATAATTCTTTCCTAATAGTTTAGTACCAAGGTTCACGGGGGGAAATAAATATGTAGGATTTAATTTAAAGTGGGCAGTTATGGATTGGCAGGGCTTTTGAATTCCCTGAGCTTGTATCAATCAACGTTTTTTTAACAGTTTAGGAGTACTACTTCCAAGAGAAGGACCAGTCAATAAATTTCTACCTTGATGGTGTCTCACACATGTATCTTCTTTTCTTATAGATTTTTTATTTTTTACTAAGGTACATTTCAGAATGTTGAAATTTCCCTAAATTTGAACATCCATTCAATAGTGTTATATTTTTCTCAAACATTTCTACAAGGTTGGTGATCTAATCTAAAAGAAGAAGGGAAAAAAAGAAGATAAAAGCTTTTGCATGTCACTTCCTTTTTACATCATTCTAATCAAATGCTTTCTTTTATGACTGTTGTTTATTTGTTAATTTATATCGCTTTCTGATCTGTGTTCCATCTTGGCAGTGAGTCTTGCTCGGCTTCACATTCTGCTGCCCCGTGTTTAACATTCATTTGGGTTGATGATCGTAATAATGAATTTGATCGAATTGTAAAGATCCTATCGGAAGAAATCTGCCCTGTGCTGTTAGATACAATAATCCAAGGTATTTTCCTTGCAATCATTCTTTGGGGAGAGGAAGTACTATATTTTCTTTGATCATTAAATCTATGTCTGTGGTTTTGGAGGGAGGGTGGAAAAGAGAAAAAGGATACCAGGAACTAGAATAAAATGTGCCACAGTTCACTAATTGAATTGTCCGGTAGTCTTATTCTAATTATTTGGTAAATTAATGATACAATACTAAATCCTGTACAATACAAATCCACAATTTCATGAAGACTTCAATATTTAATACATTAATATTGTTGTTACAAGTAGGAAGCCTGAAACAGAATATCAAACATCAAAATTTTATACCGATTGGCCCATTTCAAATAAATGACTTGTGTACTGGATAATCTCCCTGAATCATGAAAACATAGTGTTCTTGGAAGATAGCTCTTGTAAGTTCTTAACCATTTTCTTCATGCACTAGAATTACCACTAGCTAGTTACTCTCATATCCCCATTGGCATTCTAAAAAAGCACAAATTACTTGCTAGAGGACCTCTCCTGCATTCAAATTCATTGGCCGTATCTATCCTTTCCACATGCTAATGTTTTGCAATCTAAAGACTTGCTTATTCCTCTCAGATGTGATCTTCTGTCAACTGTTTATTTCTTGTTTAAATTTGTTGGCCGTCAGTTTTTATATGTGGTCTGTCATATGTTTTGTTGAATTCTTAATTTTGAATGCATACATCGCTTGGATCACATATTTCTGTCTGAGTAATGTTTCTGATTTTCCTCTTACTAATAAGCAGGAGACCCACGCATTAGCTCTGCTAGTATAATTTGGGTTAGTCCGGATACAAACACATGGGTTCGAAACCCTTATAAATCTTCTAATGGTGAACTGGCACTGGATATTATTCTTGAGAAGGATGTAGTCAAGCAGAGTGGTGATGCTTGGAGGATTGTACTTGATTCCTGCCTTCCTGTTCTTCATTTGATTGATACCAGGCGTTCAATCCCATACGCTATTAAGCAGATTCAAGAATTGTTGGGGATATCTTGCACTTTTGATCAAGCGATTCAGGTGAGTTGTATTGAATTATGTTTAGTTAGTTGCTCTTTTGGTTGTCTTTCGGATATTTCCTCACTTAATTACTCCAAGTATTTTTATGGGCGGAGTTGTTGGGTGATTCCCAATGTTTCTAATTGCTTAGACTTTTGCAGTGTTCCCTTTGCCTCTATCTCTATGGTGTCCTAATCTTGAGAGGTATTTTCTTTGGTCAGATCAGGCGGAACACGGAGAATAGATATTTTTAGTTTGAGAATTTGGTGCCTAGAAATTTTGCTTTAGCACTGAACTCCTATCTATAGAAACTAAATGCCTATATCCAGGAAAATGAAAATTATTAATGATAAATATATTGCATCAAATGGACTGCAGCTCAGACTAAACACGCAATGCCCAAAACATAAAACACACAACAAAACTGAATTGTATTTCTATCTTATTTGATTCTAATATTAGGAAAACAATCAGTTGAAAATCAAACTACATTGCTAGATTTTGTGGTGATATGCAATTTTTGCCTTTCTCGTCTATATCGGAGTCTGATTTTTATATCATTGGGGTGTTTTGTTGTGAATATGAAAGATTTGATCATTATACAATGTTTAGTAACCCCCATTAGTAAATCTTTTGTACCCATCTTATCCTTCTGTACCTACTTGCAGCGTGTTGCGGCATCTGTGAAAATGGTGGCAAAAGGTGTTCTTAGAGAGCATCTAATTTTGTTAGCTAGTAGTATGACATGTGGTGGGAACCTGGTTGGCTTTAACACAGGGGGATATAAAGCCCTCTGTCGACAACTAAATATTCAAGTACCATTCACAGATGCAACACTCTTTGTAAGTTGCTACCTTGTTAATTGTTGTATCGTGAGGTGTATTGGGTTATTATTATTATTCTTACTTTGTGAATGTTACACTATGCAGACACCTAAAAAATGTTTTGAGCGAGCTGCTGCGAAATGTCATACTGACTCTCTGTCAAGCGTAGTTGCATCCTGTTCCTGGGGTAAACATGTGGCAGTTGGTACAGGATCAAAATTTGATGTTGTTTGGGATGCAAATAAGGTATTTTATCATACTCAGGTTTAATACTTATGAGTGTACAACTCCTTTTAGCAGTTAGTTAGTTAGTTACAATCATCATTATGTATTGTGTTCTCTTAGAGTTGTTTGTTACAGCTGTCACTGTTAGGTTGTAATAATTGATCCCATAAAGTTAGATGAGTTTCTGTAGTCTATGTGTAGTTGCTGTATATAGAAACTTGTAACTTGTACAAATCTCAGAATTAGAAGTGCAAGTTTCTTTTCTCTTGAGTTTGTTTTTAATAATTGGAGTTCTGGATAAGCATTATTTGAATGTTGACATTTGTTCTTTTGCAGATAAGATCAAGTGAAATTAAAGGAATGGATGTTTACAGTTTTCTTCACATGGTTGGAGGTCATACTGATGGGGAAGAAGAAACTGATGCTTGTTTGGGTGAAGATATTGATGATTTGCTGGAAGAAGAAAATTTGGATTTGGAAATGTCCTCACCACATAACTCTGGTTTTAAGGCTGTCTTCGAAGACAATCCTGAAGTACTCAATGATTCAACATCCAATGGTTGGGATGTAAATTTAGATCAGAATGAATCAAAATCAAATGGTTGGGGTGCAAACATAACAGGTCAGGCAAACACAAATTCTAATGAATGGTCTGGCTGGGGAAACAATAATTCTGAAATACCAGCCGGTGGAACCGAAAATATGCAAGGCTCTTGGGGCTCTGGTAGGAGGAAAGATGTAACCCAAGAAGACAATTTTGCATCAGGTGCTTGGGGTGCAAACAAAACAAATCATACAGAAACAAAATCTAATGACTGGGGAAGGAATAATAAGTCTGAAACACTTGCTAGTGGATCTGAAAAAGATTCTTGGGGCTCAAGTAAATTGAAAGATGATGTACCAAAAAACAATATTGGTTCTAGTGCTTGGGATGCAGGAAGCACAGGTCAGGCAAAAGCAAAATCTAATGAATGGTCTGGATGGGGAAATAATCAGTCTGAAATAACAGCTGGTGGATCAGAAAATGTGCGAGATTCCTGGGGCTCTGACAAGGGGAAAGATGATGTTACCCAAGTAGACAACTCCGCATATGGTTCTTGGGGTGGAAACAGAAGAGATCAGACAAAAGCAAAATCTAATGAATGGTCAGGCTGGGGAAGGAATCAATCAGAAATGCAACCTGGAGGATTTAAAAATGTAAGAGAAGATTCTTGGGGCTCAGGTAAATTGAAAGATGATACCCAAAATGACAATTCTGAGTCTGGTGCCTGGGGTGCAAGCAGCAAAGGCCAGATAGAATCAAAATCTAATGAATGGTCAGGCTGGGGGAAGAATAAGTCTGAAAAAGCTGGTGAATTTGAAAATGTGCAGGATTCTTGGGGCTCTGGTAAGAGGAAAGATGTTACCCAAGTAGACAACTCTGTGTCTGGTTCTTGGGGTGGAAGCAGAGGAGATCAAACTAACACAAAATCTAATGAATTGTCTGGCTGGGGAAGGAATAAATCGGTAATACCAGCTAGCGGAACTGAAAATGCACAAGATTCTTGGGGCTCAAGTATATTGAAAGATGATGTTACCCAAAACGATAATTCCACCTCTGGTTCTTGGGGTGCAAACAAAACAGGTTCGTCAAAAACTGAAGTAGATGAGTGGGCTAGAAATAAAGTTGAGGCAATAGATGGTGGGTCAGAAAAGCCCCAAGAAGATTCTTGGAACTCAGGTAATTGGAAAGCTGACTCAAAAGTTGGCAATAACTCTTGGGGACAAGCCAAATCCTCTGGAAGTCAATCATGGGATTCCCAAAATCAGTCAAATCAAAATTCAACTTCACGGGGATGGGAATCACATATTGCTTCAGCTAATTCAGATAGTGAGAAAGGTTTTCAGTGGGGTAAGCAAGGTAGAGAATCTTTCAAGAAAAATCGCTTTGAAGGTTCACAAGGTCGGGGTCCAAATGGTGGCGACTGGAAAAATAGGAATCGCCCACCTAGACCACCTGGACAGAGATTGGACTTATATTCATCTGAGGAGCAGGATGTGCTGAAGGAGATCGAACCTATTATGCAGTCTATCAGACGAATCATGCAACAACAGGGGTAAGTTACTTGTGACAGTAAATACTAACTCCCCCATTATAATGACTTGGCAAGCTAGAAAAAATCATGATATTATTTGCCTTTCCTGTAATAATACAAGCCGTACACTGAATTGCAAGTTGCAATTTGAACCTTTGCATCTGCTCTACTGTCTTTACTGTCCATAGCAATTTCTCTGGTAGTTATTTTTGGTTTGAATACCATTACAAATATAGCTATTATTACTTTAAATTGTTGCTCCTTATTAAGCTTGTGTTAGCTGTACTCTCTACCCTAGCCTCGAGTGGTTTCCTGATGTATTCCCTCTGTTATGAGTATTGTATCATAAGCTGAAGCATTTTGATCATATTTTTTTAATAAATTCCTATTGAAGGTACAACGATGGGGACCCGCTGGCTGCTGAAGATCAACAATTTATACTTGAGAATGTCTTTGAGCACCATCCAGATAAAGAAACCAAAATGGGTGCTGGAATTGATTATGTCATGGTATCACCTAACTCTGTTTACATTGAATCTTTCATTCACATTTATAAATAATATTGTGATCAATATCAATTTAGATAAATGAGTTTCTTTCCAAAACTTCCTGGGTCCTGGTACTGAAAGATGGTATTTTGGTATTTCTATTTCCTTGCGTATGTGTCAGTTTGCATACATGCAATATGCAATACGTGATCTATGTATTCCATCGTTGGATTATGGGTTGCGAGGGAAGTTGAAACTTCAAATTATCGTATACCTATATCTTTTCCTGTGCCTAATGTTGGGAGTATTATTTGCAACAGGTTAACAGACACAGCAGTTTTCAGGATAGCAGATGCTTTTTCGTGGTTTTGAAAGATGGTCGAAGAGAAGATTTTTCCTACCGTAAATGCTTGGATAACCGGATAAGAAAGAAGTATCCAGCTGACCTTGCAGAAGCATTCGTCAATAAATATTTTCGAGTTTTCCGTAATAGGGGGGACCAAACTGCAAACCCAAGGGGGGACCAGACTAGAATGCCAGTGCAGGACGAAGCTTCTACACCGGCTGACCAGACCTCAACACCCGGCCCTGTGGAAACGAATGAGTAGATTACAGACTTTTTGTTCATAAATTGTACAGAAGCGGCGTAGTTAAGGCCACTGAATAGTTTTTGCATAGATGGCCAATTTTCCTATCGGAAATTTATCCTCTTTTCGGTGACAGGTGACAGTTGGATGGTAATTTTTGTAACCTGGGAATCATGCATCTTTGTGCACATGTTAATATTCTTACTGATTACAGCACATGGTGTAATGATTTTTGAACCTTTAACCATTGACTGGACCATCGATATCAAAATGACATGCTTCTTATTAGAGTTTCATCATTCAGATTCTAGCTGATATTCTTTTTTTTTAAGTTTCTTACCATTCCAGTTATTTGGTATCTATTTTTAGAGAAATTACTTTTTCACTGCCCATTCTTGTTAACTGCATTGTCATATTTTCTTGTAAATTTAATTTTCTAAATATTCGTTTGTATAACTATACAGTCTCATTTTTCCAAAGTATTTTTATGTCATTTCCGGTTGCTTTAAATGACGACTTTTGGAATTATAACTGAGATAATTGCAGGCAACAATAATGCATTCTGATATCCCTTATTAAGTGAAATTGATACGAGTCAAATTGAGGCACGATGATTTTGTTAGAAAAGAACAGCAATGCTCTCTCGATTCAACTTTTGTTCACTCGTTCTAAAATGATGATGCCTCACCAAAGGGTTAAGAATAATGCTCTGATTCAATAAGTTCATTTCTAGTTATTTTTCACAGGTTTCATCCCTAGTATGTTGGAAAGACTATTAAATATTAAATGCGATTATCCTACCAATGATTCGTGTCTTATTTCAGTATGTTTTGAAGACCAGCTCCTATTGGACTTTATTCTTTTAACACGATCCAATAAATTATACCCCACTCAGATAACATCAAAATACAGAAGTAAAGAAAGTTGCACCGTAGACGTACTTGGCAGCGACACTGAAGGGGGGGGCAAGGGTAAAAAAAA